TATGATTAGTGCACATTTTCCTCTTTCTTTGTTACACACACGCTCTCTTAAACCTTTTGGTGAGATGTCTCAGATGTTCCAATTCAACAAATGCATTATTTATGTGAAGAGCGTAACATTTGAAATGCAGCGCATTAAAAAGTTGATTGCAACACTGCACACACTGATAGACAATTATGACTCAATATACTGAGCATATCTAGTATGCTGATTTACTTAGTACACTAGATAATAAATTAGTATATTAATTTACTATCTCCATTCCTCGCAACTGTGCTGAAGTTCTGTTCTATTTTAATGTAATTTTTCAGAACCTGTATTTTAAGATGTAATAGTTCAAGGGATGTTAGACGTTTGCCATTATACTGTGGCTATATTTAGCTAAAACTTTGCTTTACAAGGTTGGATTTAGCTCATGTTATGATGCGTTCAGGGTATTTTTAAGCCACAGTGTTTGACAATAAAACTAAAAGAGTTAAAGTTTTTTTTTTTTAAATCATAAACTAATCTGTTTTTTACGTCATTATAAAATATAAGTTAAAATAACAATGTAATATTATTTGCCAGGCTCATCTTTCTGATTGGCTGACTGCCAAATTTATGGAGCTGCTTTGCTCGTCATGCTAGCTTAGCAAGCGCTACATGGAAGAGCTTCTGTCAAGAAAAAGAGCGGAGGAACCGTCCTGCTGCAAAGCATGCTAAAACCAGAAGGTATGAGGTAGCACTTTACTAAACAAATGTAATAAGTATTAAACAGTGAATAAAAGTGAGAAAAAGAAAACATTCTTATAGTTTATGTTCTTTACATATTGCCTATGATAAAGGGGTCCACGCCCAGGAGCTAACGCTGACAGGGCATCATGGCAGGACTTGAACAAAACTGAAACTGCGTCTTTCAGTTTCCATTCTTTCATGAAGGCTAAAATAGTTACGTTTTTCCATCATAAGCTGTGAATCTCTGCAGCTCCTCCAGAGTTGTCATTGGACTCCTGCTTAATGCACTCCTCACCTAGCAGCTTAGGCCGACGGTCTAGATAGCTTGTACATTTCTGTTTGGTACATTTTATTTCGGGATGACATAAAGCCCCTAGATAAAGGTAGCAAGCACATCTTTAGAGGTCTTGTATCTTAGTAAATACAGTGAACCCTTTGTGTAATTTAGAAATAAAGTGAGCCGAGCACAAATGCACAGAACACTTTTAAGATTTTTTTTGTTTGTAAAATATTTTGAAAATGCAACTGTTTGCTTAGCTTTACCTTTATGCACACATAAAACCCCAATAAGATACTTTAACGTTTTCAGTTGTGACAAAATGCAGTCAAGAAGTCAAATTTCAGTTTAAGAAGCGTAGACACTTTCGCGAAGCATTGCGAATCGAGCAGTTTGAATTTAGCCATATGAGGTTTAAACCTGCAGCCTCTTAAGTTG